TATACGTTTTATTATTGCTGTGCGCTTGAGGAAGGATCCAATCGAGCAACGACGTGCGTCCTGGCTATCACATTCATATTGTCAATAGTGGGCATCACCTTCGCAGGTATGTCGATAAACGACTTCAACGACCGCTGTTGGCTTTATTACGGCTGAGAACTGAGAGACAGGATGCTCCTTAATTACCTTACAAACGTTCAGGCCATGATTAACAAAAACACTCGAGACGGGTATTCAAGTGTCTAGCATTTTGAGCACAACATCTTCAAAGTCTGGCTACAGGTCTGTCACTTATTCAGCTATTAAACTGTACAACAATCCTAGTGCTGCTACAAAAAGCTCTAGCTCACTTAGGTTATCATTTTTTTTTACCAATTATTGGCCCAACACGTGTAGATTTTAGTAATATATTACGTATTATAACCTGTTACATTTTTAATTTTCACTGATTACCTTTAGACTTGTAACTGGCTTTACTATTTTAATCTGTGATATTCTTAAGTTGCACAGTTTAACTTTAGACGAAGAGCCTCATCGTAAATAAGTGCTAGTTTTATGAATTCTGTGTGTAAAAAAATACTTGATTGGATTTGATTTGATCGTTTAATTCTGATAATTAGGTTTAGGACTTCCCTCTCACTGTAAATAAGTGCTAGCTTTATGAATTCTGTGTCTAAAAGAGTATTTGATTTGATTGGATCGTATAACTCCGATAATTAGGTTTAGGACTTTCCTCTCGAAAATAGCACTCAAAACGAATACTAAAGATTGGGTTTTGGAATACGTGTCATGTCCTTGAATTCTGAAATAAGTAAAATTATCTCTCCCCGGGTCTTTTGCTGGCTTTTCATTCTCCAATATTGTATATTGATTACTACTTACCATACAAAATTGATATTGACATATTAATATCTAGAAATGTTAGAATCGCAAAGTAATGTTAGTATTATTGTTAGTATGTTATGGTATTGTAAGTAATGTGTGGTATTGTTAATTATGAGAAACAACACAACGTTTTGCAGAACCCGTCGCAGCTATATCGATAGCCGACTTCAACAACAGCTGTCGGCCTGATAACTACTGAGAACTGAGTGAAAGCATGCTCCTTGTTTACCTCATTAACCGTTCAGGCCTTGTCGAAAGGGGTATTCAAGTGTCTAGCATTTTGAGCACATTTTCAAAGTCTGGCTACAGTTCATTTATTTATACAGCAGCTAAACAGTACAACAATCTGAGTCCTTCTTCGAGAAGCTCTAGCTCTCTAATGTCATTTTCTACCAATTATTGGTCCGACACGTGTAGATTTCAGCGATATATTATGGATTATAACCTGTTTGTAATAAATTACTATTTTCATTTTTTATAGATTAACTTTGGACTTGTTCGTAACTGGTATTACCATTTTAATTTGTGCTATCTTTATTTGCATAGATTAATTTTAGATGAACAGCCTCATTGTAAATAAGTGTTACCTTTATGAGTTCTTTCCTAATTAAGTATTTGATTTGGTTTGATTTGATCGTAAAATTCCCATAATTAGGTTTAGGTCTCCCCTCTCGAAAATAACACCAAAAACTAACAGTTTAGTAGGATTGGTTTTTGGAATACGAGCCATGTCCTTGAAATCTGAAATAAGTAAAAGTATCTTTCCCCGTGTCATTTGCTGGCTTTTCATTCGAAATTGATTCTTATTTCACCATACCAAATTAGTATTAATATGTTGATATTTATTCATGTAAGCATCGCACAGTAATGTAAGTATAATTGTAAGTATGTTACGGTATTGTAAGCGATATGTGGTATTGTTAATTTGTAAGTAATGTTAGTAGCAGTAGTAATGCGATACCTTTAACGGATGCCTTACATTAGCCTAAAAGACCCTAGTCTCTGATTAAAACAACGTTACATGTCTGTGAGCTTGAAATACTAGGGGACTTAAGATTTGAGTACGAGAACGAGATCGAGTACGAGTATGACTTTTTAATTCCAATTTGCAGGCTTCACATTATCACGTCACATACCCATCTCATGCCATGAGCTACATGTACCCTCTCTACCTAAAACCAACATGAAGAGCAAGGGCTCTGGAAACGTCACTGATTTGAAATTCGAAAAGCGTACTTGTACTCAATCTTGAACTCGTAGTCCAATCTAAAGGTCTCTACTATCCGGGATTGATTTTCAGTTGGAGTCCAGCTTCTAGAAAACTGTAATTATGTTTACTACTCTAGGTCACTATTTGACAGTTAAAAATGATGCTATATCTTGACCTACATCGAGTCAAATTTACAAAAACACTTGGGGAATGGCCGAAATTCACTGTTTATCGCTGAGGAAAGAAAATTTAGCGGACGGTTAATGCACGTGGGGCATAAATTTCGCGGTTGTTATATCTCTTTCCAGGAACACCTTGCTCTATATACTTAAGTTTTTTTTTCTCAGAAATTGGGATAATTGTTATGCAAGGTTAATCTTCGACAGTTGTCAATGTCTCGCCAACATCTTTCTTTACCTAGCTCTTTTAATTCTGGGATCGGAAGCGTCATTCCCCATATCAGTTCAAAGAAAAAAAAAACACAGGGAAATAAGGCAGTAGCCATTTCTTTTACTGATGGCGGCGGCTTAGCCTAAAAGACCCACTTTCTAATCAAAACAACGTTTCGAGCTTCAAGTCGCTTCTGGAATGTTACCCGGAATTGAATTTCACTGAATGCAGTTTCGGAGAAATTGCAATTACGTTTGCTACTCTTGGTCACTCTTTGCAATTAATAACGGTTGCCAATTTTTGGTTGCTGATGCCGGTTACAATGATATTAATACCACTACTAAACTGTGTCACATGACAATTCCTCAATCGAGAAGAAGCAACGGGGTGTTCTGTTCGTATATTGCAAGGTAGAAACTCCATGTAAGCCATCAATTTCTAGGAAATTTGTAATGTTTACTATGCTAGTCTGCCCTTTGTAGTTGGGAATGACCTACCAACATTTTTTTAACTAAGATCTTTGAAAACATGACAACTCGTTGGCATAGCCAATTGCAATTGCTCTTTTATCGAAATGTTCAATCTTTAAGATAGGATAAATATGAAATCATTATTCCTCAGTCGTGAAAGAGCCGCAACATGATATTCAGGCCGCTCCTAAACGGTGTCACATGACAATTCCTCCATCGGAACGACGTCTTCTGTTGATATGAAGAACGAGGAAACTCTCTGTAATGGATCCCTGTGATAACAATTATTGTTGTGTACTGGTACATTGCTGTCTGCTATTTTACGAAGCAATCGACAAGCTTGTCGACGTGTTGGTCTTTACCAGCTATAAGGACGGAAATATATCTAATGATCCTCAAGACAGTGTTCACACAGCCCTTTTTGTTTTCTTTATCATTGGATTACTTCTCTCCATCCAACGTATAGGACTTTACTGCTGGAGAATCTATCTCTATCGCGCAGATGATAACAGCCTGGACGAATCTCGTATCCCTACTAATCTTTGGTTTAGTTTCGCGAAAGTTTGGTTTGAAGCTTTCCCTCAGTCAACGATTGCAAAGTTCTTCTTTGGCAACTGTGCGTTGAAAGAAAATGCCAAGACCCTGGTTCAAGCGTTTGATGTCTTCTCGATGTCTCCGTTCATCATGTTCGTTTGCTATACGTTTTATTATTGCTGTGCGCTCGAGGAAGGACACTATCTAATAACGACGATCGTCCTGGCTATCACATTCATATTGTCAATAGTGGGCATTATCTTCGCAGGTATATCGATAAACGACTTCAACGACCGCTGTTGGCCTTATAACGGCTGAGAACTGAGAGACAGGATGCTCCTTAATTACCTTACAAACGTTCAGGCCATGATTAACAAAAACACTCGAGACGGGTAATCAAGTGTCTAGTATTTTGAGCACAACATCTTCAAAGTCTGGCTACAGGTCTGTCACTTATTCAGCTATTAAACTGCACAACAATCTTAGTGCTGCAACAAAAAGCTCTAGCTCACTTAGGTTATCATTTTTTTTTTTACCAATTATTGGCCCACCACGTGTAGATTTTAGTAATATATTACGTATGATAACCTGTTGCATTTTTAATTTTCACTGATTACCTTTAGACTTGTAACTGGCTTTACTATTTTAATTTGTGATAATTTTAAGTTGCACAGATATACTTTAGAGGAACAGCCTCATCGTAAATAAGAGCTAGTTTTATGAAATTCTGTGGGTAAAAAAAGTATTTGATTGGATTTGATTTGATCGTTTAATTCTGATAATTAGGTTGAAGACTTCCCTCTCATTGTAAATAAGTGCTAGCTTTATGAATTCTGTGTCTAAAAGAGTATTTTACTTGATTTGATTTGATCGTTTAATCGTTTAAGATTGGGTTTTGGAATACATGTCATGTCCTTAAATTCCGAAAGAAGTAAAATTTTCTCTCCCTGGGCCTTTTACTGGCTTTTCATCCTACAAAATTGTAGATTGATTACAACTTCACCATACAAAATGGATATTGACATATTAATAGCTAGAAATGTTAGTATCGCAAAATAATGTTAGTATTATTGTTAGTATGTTAGGGTATTGTAAGTAATGTATGATATTGTTAATTAGTAAGTAATGATAGTATTGTAAGTAGAGTTACTATCGTAAGAAATGTTACCGTATTATTTGTTATGTGTGGTATTGTCAATTAGTAAGTGATGATAGCACTGTAAGTAGTCTTAGCATTGTCAGCAATTATTAATTTTAGTATTAAAGTAATGTTAGTATTGTAAGTAATGTGTGTATTCAAGAACATACTAAATGTGAAATACGGAGAGATCATGATCATTGCAAAACAGTTGCTGTATGTCTTGACTGAGCTATATGAATCATGGTCTTGATATCTTATTAATTGTATGTTAACGAGTTACTATATTAAAGGGAATGGTTTACTACGAACCAGGCCACTCGCATTATTGTTAAGTCACTTGCAACAAAGAAGATATCACAACCGAACTTACTTCTCTAATATCTTGTCTTGCTTTGTGGTGCTGAAAGTTTCCAACTGCAACGATTCCTGGGTCACAAACGCCACCGCCAGATAGAAAAAATTGTTCCACAACTAAAAAAAAAAGAAGGGAAGAGAGTGTAGATAAGAAGTGTAAAACGATATAGAGGACACTTCTAAAAAAAAACTGAATTTCACATTAGAGCTAAAGGTTTCCTTGTTGCTGTTGCTGCTGCTGTTGTTCATTTATCTGCCATGTGTTTGTTTCCTTTTTTGTTTCTGTCATACCATCATCAGCATCAACAACAGAGACTTTTTTGCCCTATGTTTTTTGCTCTTTCTGACTAGATTGTTCTTCCAAAGGTTGGAAAACTAAAAAACTTTCATTGAAGACGTAAACATCAACACATACCAATATGGCACAATAGGAAGAAAGAAACAGAGAGACGGAGGGTATACAGAAACTGAACCACCTCCAGAGACTTTTTTAAACTTAGCAAAAAGTTGCATCATATCATGCTTTTCTCAAACTCATTAATAATTCATCAAGTTCAAGCAAAGGAAATCATGATCGTGACAGTGTTTGGATATCTGATCTTAATTAGCAGAGATTTTACGATTATAATTCTCCGTTTTCTCCTTTGTGTTAGTTTCGATTGAGAAGACATATCAAACACTCAAGACAGTGTTTGATCACATTTCCAAACACCTCGAACTTCGTCAAAAATACTCCGCTGCGCGTCGTATTTTCAACTCTCTCCTCGGTGTTTGGAAATGTGGTCAAACACGGTCTTTCGTGTTTGATATATTACATCACAATTCCAAAAGTAACTATGGGGGTCACCCAGCTCGCTTTTGAGTTTTTAGCACTTAAGGACGGTGCCTACCAATTGCAAAAGTTTTTGCGCCAGGTTAAGACCACGCGGAAAAAGTAGATCTTTGCAAGGGCTATTGGAATCTACAAAGAAAAATGGGAGTAGCCATGCATTTTTTCGAAATAATTAGCCTTAAATCAAAACAAAAATGCTGACATCAGCATTTTCCTGAAAAAAGAAGGAACGGATATTTCTTCACAGACTTCCATAGAATTCGCCTTTGCATACAGAAAAGCAAACACATTTAAAAAGATCTTTAAACTATATGGCAAATGGTAATAGAAAAACATTTTTGATATGTTTTTAAAATCGTTGCAAAAGCGCTTTTAGCGTATCTGACAGCCTTCCTCTGGTTCAGCTAAAATACAGTCTAAATACTTTTTGCTCAGAACCACAAACTAATCACGTGTTGAATAGACTTGCCACTTCCATTTCATAATATAAAATGTAGGGGTAACCACGCGTTTTTAAAAGTTATTGATATTTTTTGAAAACTTTTACGGTGCCCGTTACATTTTTTCCTGTCACCTCTCCAGTAAGTAAGACATTTGCGTATCTCGCACTTGTCTTGCGCGCGCATTACGCCATCTGCAGGTACATGTTTACAGTTGGATTTCAGTATAATTTCCGACAGATAACAGTTAGGTTTTCAGCTGGAAGACGTAAACAGTTAGTGGTTAGCGATATGCTGCTATTCTGGTGTTCCTGGTTTAAGTACAGGTTCATTAAACTTGATTTGGTCACAGTAGGAAAATTTTGCTTTCGTTTTGTCGTGTACGTGATAGCGTAGTTGACTGCGTCAATGACAGCTCCAGCGCGCGCGTGGAGCTAAACCATGGCTTGCGCGATGGGCAGTGCGCACCAACAAAAGTAGGCATCGTCCTTAAAGCTAAAATTAAGAGTGTTACTGTTGCTATGGTAACCTATTATGGTATAAAGAGTACCATTACTGGTTCACAAGTGACTGAGGTTTGTGTGATATTAACATTGTAGCGTCACTTGATAAAGATTGATAGTATTGATCTGACTAAGTATGGCTGTTGGGAAAGTGCTGGAAACTGTTGCCAGCCATCTTAAATAACACTAACGCTATTTTGCTAACAAAGCTTACTTGATACTCAAATGAATCCGCTCCAAAGAGATCCTGCATTGCCTCGGAAAAATATTGAATGGCATCTAAGATCACGCTATGATGCAAAACAGAGAAACATTGTTTTGCTTGAATCGAAAAGATGCCATTAGTCGACTACTTACTTTTATAGCAGTACATCGAGATTACTTTTGCAGCGTAAAAATATAACACCTACCTATAATTGACGGTACTTTAGTATAGAAGAAAAACACTAAAATGGTGAGATGCACTTAAAAGCAACACAAACTGTTGTGGCTGGGGAAGATTTAAACGGATTACTCGTGACAAACTTGAAAAATGTAGGCTACATCGTTCAGGATGGTGCACATAGCTCCTTCAAGGCAAATGAACAAAATGGTCGGCCTCTCTAAATACATCTTGAAATTGAATACAAGTACTTCCGTGTTTTTAATATTATGAAGAAGGACTTTAAAGTTTACAAAATTTGTATCGCTAAAAGCATAGCTTGTGACCGAGTGGTGATATACCGAGTTCCTTTGTACACATCACAAAACGTGAGCTGTCCCCAGGTTAAAAATCATCATCAAACCTTCTCTGCTTTCCCGGGGTATTGTAGGTCAGACATGGACTAGAATTGGCATTTACATACCTTATAGAAGCTCCAAATCAACTTTCCGAGCGTAACAATAATTTTAGCCGCACAATATTTCACCTACGATTAACGTTAAAGCAATGCGACTTGTGGGGTCTAGTAACTAAATCTCAAACGTAAAAATTAATAGTAACTACTGCAAGGAATAGGAACTGGAAGAAAGAGAAAACAGTGACTTTTACCTGTTCTGAACCATGGTCATCACCATCCAGTCTTTGGGGAAAATATTGTTGCTTAACAGCTCACGAAACAGCAGAAAGAGCTCCATGAGAAAATCCTGCAATATGAAAAAATCTAGTTCAATAATATTATTTAAAAACTACGTTACCGCACATGTCGACACGTTACAAGCCACGAGTTCGGCTCTCCAGGGGTAAGAAAGATCGTTTTTCCCTAACAAATACCCACATCACACTTATCTTCAGTTCCGTTCCAAAATTCCTCAAGTTTGATGCTCTATGCTCTGATTGACTAAAGCTCGACGACCAAATTCTCTGAGCAAAGACTAAATTAGATGTTTGGCAATCAGTAAGGAGAATCACTAGTTCGATCCGGGGTTTGAAAGCGTGAAGACTCACCAGCAGATCTTTGTCTGAAGGAAAGTGTGTCACGTACTTCTGATAATGTTTCTCATCCATCAACTGCAGCATGGCTATCAAGCACGCTACATAGTTACCCTAGTACAAAAAGTAAACCGGTTCAATCATTAAAACAACGTAGGAATGCAGAGCCAACTACAAAGCCCACAAGTGTGGTAATAAATCAAATGGGAATCACAAAAATAATATTGTTAGTAAGTAATAAGTGTTGAAATCATAAGTCGCGAAAGTCAGATTATCTAGCAAGCCAGTCGTGACTCGAAGTTAAATCATACGTGGGGAAAGCCACCTAACTCCGATTGCACTATAAACACGTCAGAGCATATAGGAGCTACGTCACGGTTTGCGCATGTCCAAAAGTTTAGCCTAAATTGTTCAATTTCGACGTGTGTAATCCGTGTTAATCTTCTCCATCCCTAACCGACCCTAACCATCCTTGTTCCTTTATGGTTTATTATTATCTCTTTGGTGTTTTTCTACCTTAGTAAACTATTGTTTTCAGATTTAATTCAATTTAAAGGTAATTTCTTTATGTGGTTATAACAACTCAAAATACTGCGACTTAAGGTGGCTCAAAAGAGTTTCCAGCTCGTATATTTGGATGGGTCGTTAGAACCACTCTTTATCACTTGATGCTACAATCATGGTATCAATAAGCTGCCCAATCATTAGTGAACACGTTGTTATCATTTTCGTGGCACAATAGGTTGCCATAGCAACAGTATGACCTCCTAAAAACACCCTTAATTACTGCTTTAGGGGCTTATAATTCAAAAACGGCACGGTGAAATTTTTTTTATATTATCAACTCTTGATAAGCATGATAAGACGCAACTTTTGGCAAAGTTTAAAAAAATTCTGTACATGGGGTTCAGAGCCACCTTAATTTTTCGAAAATTTAAGGTGGCTCTGAACCCCATGTACAGAATTTTTTTAAACTTTGCCAAAAGTTGCGTCTTATCATGCTTATCAAGAGTTGATGATATAAAAAAAATTTCACCGTGCCGTTTTTGAATTATAAGCCCCTAAAGCAGTAATTAAGGGTGTTTTTAGGAGGTCATACTGTTGCTATGGTAACCTATTGTGTTACGAAAATGATAACAACGTGTTCACCAATGATTGGGCAGTTTTTTGGTACCATGATTGTAGCATCAAGTGATAAAGAGTGGTTATAACGACCCATCAAAATCTAAGTGTTGGAAACCGTTTAGAGCCACCTTAAACTACATCACTGGGGAAAGTGCAATACAAGTCGAGTAACTCAAACTGCCCGGTAAGCAAACAGGACCTCGAATTGAAAACTTGCCGCTGTTAGTAAGTGTTGTAAAGTAGCATTGGGCAAATCAAGATTACTTTTGGATTATCGTACTCGAATGAAAACATAAATTTAAGACACATTGTACTTACCACGACAGAAAGTGAGCGATCCATCGTGATCACAGTTTTGACCACAACACGTAACAGTGATGTCGCCAACAGCAGGACATCATCATGAGTGTTACCCTGCACAATCAAAGAGAACACTGCAACACTACTCTTTTGTTGAACTTTTAATTTTGCCAAATTGTTAACAAACATATTTTAATTTCCCTTTTCGAGTAACTATGTAACAGAGCGGAAAGCATCGCATTTGTGGATTGGAAATCGAACAATTTGTCAAATGCGACTTCTGCATTATATAAATTGTAACCTTAAACCACATGAAGAAACGACTGATTGAATGTGAGGGTGGTAATCAGTTGTCAAAAATTTGGGTTAAAACATTTCCTACATTCAAGAAATAAGAAACATCGCCCCTTGGAGGAAGTGTGGTGTTCCTTGGAGCGATGGCAGGTGGGTGGGGTTATCTCTTTCTTTTGAACTACAAGAGAAAAAAAAAAAAGGAAAAGATATCAATGAAACTAGTCAACTCACCACGTCCTTTCTTGTCAGAGTGATCAAAATATCGTTCAAGATATCGATGCAGCGCCTCATTTCTTCCGTCTTCTTCATCTCGTTTTTAAGTTGTTCTACAACCATGGGAAGCAGAACGTAACGGGATTCTACAAAGAGGCAAAAAAAACAAAAACAAAAAAACAAAAACACAAAGTAGTCGTAATGAACTACAGAAAGTAGGGGTCCCACGTTCCTAACTTAAGCGGAGAAGTGGAAGCCTACCTTGGTCTTCAAAGAGCTTTGTCTTCACCATGTTGTGAATACAGTCCATTTTCTGGGAAGTTAACCGCTTCTCTGGAATTTTCTCAATGAATTCTCTCGCATAGTAACTAAAACAGAGAGAAAACTTCAAATATCATCGTCAGCCGTTGAAATATCAACTGACAATGGAAGAATCGATAACAATTATGCAAGCGTCACTCGTAAACATTCAACCTGCTGGTCGCGCAACACTCGGCTATCAACTCAGAGAGTCTTGCACATCACCGCCAAACTTACAAACTCATCAATAATTCATCAAGTTTACCCAAAAGCAAGCACAACCATAGCGGTGTTTGGATATCTGATCTCAATTAGCACAGAGTTTTACAATTTTTAACTCTTGACTGTGAAGATATATCAAGATACAGACCTTTACCACACATCCAAACACTCGGAAGTTCTTCAAAAATACTCCGCTGTGCGTCGTACTTTTAACTCTCTTCTCCGTGCTGGTAAAAGTGGTAAAATCTGATCTCTCGTGTTTGATATATTACTTAAAGAGAATGGTGCAACAAAAAATAAAACTTTTCTTCGAAACACTACGCGTACTCGGTTGTAAACGTCTTTCTGGGCTGCTCTCTAGCGGAAAAAAAACGTTTTTTTGGCTTAACAAGGGATTTATAAAATGCATTGAAATCCAAAAAAAATCACGCTACATTTTCCCCTATAAAGAGAAGTATGTTACTCCAGGGAATAACACAGACAATTAGCTACCACGGTATACAAACCTCAGCTCTTTGCAATCAAACACTTGCATCAAGTCTACAAATGTTGCTGGGAAGTACTTCAAGGCAGCCCCCTGAATAAAACAGACATATTTAGCACAGTGGGTTTCCATGGCCCTAAGCCGTAGCGCTGTCCAAGACTTCTGGCAGTTTTAGCTACATTGATGTGCGAAAAGGTCAGTTTGAGCCATAAAACTTCTCAAACTCATTAATAACTCATCACGTTAAAACAAAGAAGATCACAACCGTGAAGGAGGTTTGGATACCCGCTCTTAATTAGCATAGATTTAGACGATTTTAGTTCTCCGTTTACTCCTTAGTTTTTGTTTCGATTGCGAAGATATATCAAACACTCGAGACAGTGTTTCATCGGCAATCCAAACACCTCGAATTTCGTCAAAAATACTCCTCTGCGCGTAGTATTTTCAACTCTCTTCACGGTGTTTGGATATCCCGATGAAACACTGTCTCTCGTGTTTGATATAGTACATCAATTGCTTGTGAAACGTTGTTATACATATTGGCTTTGTAGTGAGCAACAATACGTTTTTAAGGACAAAAAAACCCATCTTGGCCGATACGATACACTCAGGACAGAGATCCAGCCAGCCGCTGTACGGGAAAGGAGCCGGCGCTTCCTCTCGAGGGAGAGGGGGTGGGGGAAAGGTGGGGGTGAGGGAAACGAACGAAATCATCTCAATCATCTTAATATCCCTTACGTTTAACAATCAATTTTTTAGCCCCTATCTTTGCCTCCTCAAAACGTATCTTATGAATTAAAAATATTACGGCTGTTTCAGTATGGCTATTCGGCTCGTAAACCATTTTTATGTTGTTTATATAGACACTCTCAAGAAACACAAGTGTGCCTCTCTACTTCACGTGAAGAAAGAAGTTACCTGAGTCAGCAGTGTCTCATTCTTAACGTCTGCCATCAACTGCACCAAAGCCTGGAAAAGTTTTCTCAAGCTCTCTTCAAATTCGGACTGACCCTTGTCGCCAACCGCTCTAAGATGCAACCAAGAAGAATTGAATAGGTCTGTCAAGCTACTTTACTAATGAATGAGAAAACAGTGAAAAAGAGATCGTGTTTGTGTTAAAATGATAACCTATGTCACCATTCTTACCTTTCAAACAAAATTCTGGACTGTACAATGAATTTGAAAATGTATTCCATGGCCTAACAACATAACAAACATTCAGTGTTATACAGATACATGAATAATCAAAAAATAACTGACTCACAGACTGTAGAAAGACAGACAGACGGACGGACCTATGGCCCTACCGGCAGACTGACCGACCGTCCCACCGACTGTCAAACGGAGAGTAAACATGACACTTACCTTCATAGCCCTGAGAAGGTGATCCATGCGAAGTCTGTCTAGTTGCTGTTCTACTGTTGCGTAATTTATATACTCCAGGAATACTGAGATGAGAATGCTACAATGTCAGAAAAGAACATAACAAGTCACCAGATTAAAACATCTGCTGCAAATCACTAAGCCACATTGCCAGGAGGTTTGACACTATTGAACTTTTAGAAAACTGTTTAACCCTTTCACGTTCAGAGTTGAACGTTGAGTCAGTGAGTGACTATGCCTATGAAAGATATTGAGCAGTACATTCACCTGGCATTGCTTATTGTGCTCTACAAGGTGGGTCTAACTTTGAACATTGTGGATGAAACCTTAGTGTGTGACTATTCAAGTGAAAGCTGTTTAGCAGTACGTTTTTGTGGTACTGTTTACTACTTTGTACTTTGTCTGTGGATGAAACCCCACCCCAGTGCGTGACCATTCAAATGAAGAATGTTAGCAGTTGATTTTTCAGTGTTTTTCGAATTAAATTTAAGATTAAATTGCAAAGATGAAATGTTCGTCATGTCAAGAGCGTGGGATAAAGAAGAAAATCACAGTCCCCAAAGGGATGCCAACGCATCCCCTGAGCTATGGAAAAACTCACGGAGAAACCCATGGTCAGCCAAGCCAATAACACTGTGCTCAAAATTTACCATCTTTGTTTATTCAGCACACACGATACTTTCGTCAATGCTGATCCTTGCAGTCTGCAGGATGCATTTCACATATCAACAGCACACCGCAAGTCTCTGCGTAGCTCAGTAGCTCAGGCGTAACTGGTATATGGGTTCCTGTGCTGCGGAAGACTCAGATATCTTCTTTGTCCAACGCCCGCTTCATAATGAGTACTTCATCTTTATAAAATAAACGATTTTTTCTTCCCTTTTTGAGCTTTGAGGGAGGAGGAGGAGAAGGAGGGGGTGTTTGTATGCATGCTAAAGGAAGTTGTGCACAACATTAAAAGATTCCAGGATAGTTTTTCACTCTAGCTCACAGCACAAGCAAGAAATCTAGATCGTCCAACTCTCTTATATGCCATTAACTGGTGAGGGAAGTACGGTTGCCTAATCATCTGTACCCGAGAAACAGTAGTCAATCTAAAGTAAGATGTCCTACATTAGCTTCACTTACTGATCCGCTTTTGTGGCTCCAAACAGATCCTCTATATAGGCATCCAAAACGGGTCTGAAGTGGTGATACTTCTTGTCGGCTAGCAAACTGATTGTGAAAACCTGATACCAATAATACAAAAATATACAAACAGCAAACATACAGAGCCTATTTATGATTGTAAGTATCGTTATTCGAAAGCCTATTAAAGCTAGGTAAGGATTTAAATTTAAATCAAGATTTTAACTTCTCTTGCATAAGTGCAAGTGTAAGTGTAAGTAAAAAGAAACTTACAGACTGAAAGGATTATTCATCACGTGAAACATACAAAACCTGGAAATAACAGTGATGGTAAGGTAAAAAAAACAAAAATGCCCGGAAAAAGAGAAATAATAATAAAAAAACACACTACAAGAATGCAGTGTTAATTTTAGGGTGCGGCTTGGCGGGGTTTCCTATATTTGAAGAAAAATGCCGCATAAAATAACTGAAGCGCTCAAAATTGTATCCAAGGATAAGATCTCATTCTCTGAAATACAGTACAGTCAAACCTCCCTACAACGGCCACCCTGGGGAAAGAGAAGTTTTGCTGGCCTTTCTGGAGAGGTGGCCATTGTAAGGAGGTTAAAATATGAGCAAATCTCTCGACTGGGACGAAAACATGTAGCCGATGTAGAGAGGTGGCCGTTGTGTTTGTTAGAAAAGGTTCGACTGTATTCGAAATCATCACTGTCGACTGATATGACTCTTGCTCTATACCTCAAATTAATAACCTCTTTCTGTCTTTCCTTTCTCTTCTCGTTCTTTTCTGTTTTTGTATTTTGCACTTTCTTGACTTGCTTCTGAGTTATTAGATTTTTTTTCTTCCCCGTTTTAAGTCCCCATTCTTGAAAAAGCCCTCCCTTAAAATTACAGAAGTGGGGCCACTGGGCCCAATTGGCTAATTTCTAGAATAATCCCTGGGGTGGTTACAATTGGGGGAGATTGGGACAAATAAGCACAGCGTAGGGTTAATTTATCACGATGTGCCGCCAATCATGAAATAAACTAGTTTAAAGGGGCTACGTCACGCCATTTTAGGTAATTTTGTTTAATTTTGTTAATTATGAACTCTAAACGTCATATTGGTAGAGCAAAAATCTTTCATTTGCAAAATCACGGCCACATAACAACTGAGAATGATTTTCCAGCCGTGTAAATGACATTTTGATATAAACTGATATAAATTTGAAAAAAGGTGGGGCGACGTTTTTCAAATTTACCCAAATGCAATCCGTTTTAATCCTCCCCAGTTTTGTCCATCCATGTCCATTCTGGGCTTTCCTGTGTTTTGTTTGAGATCTTCTATAGTTTTGAGCCGTTTTGTGATATTTTAGTTAATTCTATGACCATTTGATCAGTGCTGAAATCGTCTAAAATTACGTGAGCTAGCCCCTTTAAATTTCATTACACCGATGTAAAGTTCAACTCACCAACGCATCAAACACAAGCTTGTCATACTTGTTGGCATGCTCCATCAAAATTGCAAACAGCGCATCAAAAGTATCCGTCAAGAACTGAAAGTTCAAGAACACGTTAAGATACATAACTTATTATGTAAATCAGCGCATTATTATCACAAACCTTATGATGGAGAGTTTCTACAGACATTGGCAAAACTAAGAGCGGTTTTCAATTGAGTGTCGTAAAACCAAAACCACACCAATAACTTACCAATTAGACCACTCAGCCAATCTCCAACCGTAGTAAAACCAAAACCAAAACCAAAACCAAAACCAAAGTGATTGCTTGATACTTTCGACACTCAATTGAAAACCGCTCTATAAGGTTATAACTGCTATAGCTTCAGCTTGCATCGTCATAATACACCCACGCCAGTTTTGGATCAAATGAATTTCAGCAGTGGAGAGCGCATGCTCAGGACACAAGCATGAGCCAAATAGAATAGGCCATTTCCGCGTTACCTTATGCCTCTGTATCAAAACGAAGCCCTAACCCTAACCATAACCCTCGTGCAAAACCGTTCCTATGAAAATAATATTTCATGCAAGATTTACTTGAAAATGAACCTGTAAAGGCAGAGGCAAAACGCAACTCGGAAATGGTCCACTGCTTGTCAGGTTTTCCCTCTGATTGACTGAAAGACGCCATCTGACAATCGATTGACTATTTTTTTTAGAAAAAGCGCAAAAGTAATAAATAAATAAATAAATAAATAAATAAATAAATAAATAAATAAATAAATGATTTAGCAATAAGGAATTCACAAAATGAACAAAAACGAACTGGAGCTCTGTTAATTCTTTAACAACGAGCATGTACAGTTTAGTATCTACAGCCCGTGTAGCTGACAGAATGATTTTGCCATTTGACATAAATGCTGTAAATGCACTTATTATGCCCATACCTTGACGATTTCTTCACCACTGACTTTCATCACAGTTACAAGGATGTGTTTTAACTTTCCAACCATAGAATTCCACTTGAGTAGTCCAAGAAGATCAACTAGAAAATCAAAACGGTTCATAATAATAATAAATAATAATAATAGACTTGTATAGCGCTAGAACTATACAAACATACTCAAAAGCGCTTTACATTAAGTTAAAATAAATGAATAAATGGAAATCACTAAA